GATCTCGACCGTTTACAAGTTATCAAAAAGGGGTGGGGGTTACTCCCATGGACTTCCCCAATATTTCATTTGATTTGTTTTATTGACCCATACAAGAATATATATGGTTCAGGGGTGGGGATCTCGACCGTTTACAAGTTATCAAAAAGGGGGGTGGGGGTGACCCCCTGGACTTCCCCCATATTTCATTTGATTAGTGTTATTGTCCCATACAAGAATATATATGGTTTCAGGGTGGGGATCTTGACCGTTTACAAGTTTTCAAAAAGAAGGGGGGTGGGGGGTGGTCCTGGGGACTCCCCCAATATTTCGTTTCATTTGTTTTATTGTCCCATACAAGAATATATACAGTTTTGGGGTGGGGATCTCGACTGTTTACAAGATTAAACTCAAATTTATTTCCATGAACCAGTAACAAAACAACAAAATAATTTTCTAAAATTAGCTATGACTTAACCACTCATAAATCTCTAAAATAAGATATGATTTTATATCTATCAATTAAACACATCACTTTTCAAAACAAATAACTCAAACTTATTTACATAAACCAATAAATAAAATGCTCTGCTGGGCGCAGCTTGATACGACTGCAGAGGTCGAACCCTGAACAGTTGGGGCAAGTATGGACACAACATTCAAGCTTGGTACAGCTCTGAATTTGGATTGTGATTAAATATTTGACACAGCATAGGTTTCTGACACAGAAAATATGTGGTCTAAGAATTTGATTTTTTTTAATTTACCTATTATGGTCCAATGTCCAAAATCAAAATACATGGTTAGATTCAGCATATCAAAGAACCCCATATATTCAATTTTTGTTGAAATCAAAAAAAGTTTAATTTTGGACCCCAACTTGGACAAACTTGAAAACTGGGCCCATAATCAAAAATCTAAACACATGTTTAGATTCAGCATATCAAAGAACCCCAAGAATTCAATTTTTGTTAAAATCAAACTAACTTTAATTTTGGACCCTTTGGACCTTGATGTAGACCAATTTAAAAAACGGGACCCAAAATTAAAAATCTAAATACACGGTTAGATTTGGAATATCAAAGAACCCCAATAATTCAATTTTTGATGAAATCAAACAAAGTTTAATTTTGGACCCTTTTGACCTCAATATGAACCAATTTGATAGCAGGGTCCACAAATAAAAAATCTAAATACATGGTTAGATTCAGCATATCAAAGAACCCCATATATTCAATTTTTGTTGAAATCAAACAAAGTTTAATTTTGGACCCCAATTTGGACCAACTTGAAAACTGGGCCCAATATCAATCCCAACTACTTTTTTTTTTTGGTATGGTACCTTGTGGTACAATTTTATAGAGATCTGTTCACCTTTACTCAAGTTATTGTCTGGAAAACAAATGTCTTCTGAAATGACACCTATATATTCTTACAACGTCATAACATTTTATGGATAAAAATTACATGCTTTTCTTGACTGGTGATAACTTTACACACTTAACAAATTATCAAATTTTGTGTAAACTTTATTTCATAGAATTTATACAATTCCTATTATATGATATTTTGTAACATTATCAAACCAATGACTCATTACAAGCATGAAAAAAAAGTCATGTCACTTCAACTTTACAATTATTATAAACTTATTAAACGAATGGCTCATTACAAGCATTGAAAAAAAAAATAACTTATTCACAAACACTTGCAAATCTTTCAACTGATTATAATGATTAATAAGACAATAAGACAATAATACATGTATAATAAACTATACATAGTTATCAAGTGTAGTCTATATCAGGTGTACAAAGAGAGATAACTTTTATTAGTTCTTAATTAAGGTTGGAGTGTTGTATATAAAATTGAAAATACAAGACTGGTTTTCTCAAGTTATTTATATACAGAAACTGTAAAGCATACAAAAAGTTATGTCACTTCAACTTTACAATAAACTTATTAAACAAATGAATCATTACAAGCATGAAAAAAATATATAACTTATTCACAAACACTTGCAAATCTTTCAACTGATTATAATGATTAATAAGACAATAATACATGTACAATAAACTATACAAAGTTATCAAGTGTAGTCTATATCAGGTGTACAAAGAGTGATAACACTTATTAATTCTTAATTAAGGTTGGAGTCTTGTATAAGTTGAAAATACAACACTGGTTTTCTCAAGTTATTTATGTACAGAAACTGTAAAGCATACAAAAAAAAAAAGAATTATTTAATAAATACTTGACTCTGTTACTTAACTGTTTTTACTTTAAAATTGAGTTTAAACAGTCCGAAAAACTCTCAACAAGGGAAAGATAACTCAAAAGTCTGTTTAAATTTGGCCCAGTAATTACAGAGAGATTTGTGGTAAAGTTAATGGACGACGACAGATGCCAAGAGATGGGAAAATCTCACTTGGCCTTTTGGGCCGGTAAGCTAAAAATTGATATCTTTGTGTTGTTAGGTTGATGTCAGCTCAATTATGGATATACAGCACCTTATGAACAGTAACAGAAAAAAAAAATTGGAATGTGTTATACCATCAAGCAAAGATCCATTACCAGGCAAAGATGTGTTAGAATCTTTCTCTAAGGTGTGTCCTAATGCTGCATTCTTTTCTCTCATGCCTCCAATGAATGATGAAGTAACTAGAGAAACATCAGTCAAGGTTAAACATACAAAAGAAGAAAAATTACCTAGACCTCTTACAAGTTATTATGATGTCATTAATAAAGAACTAACTGAACAGGAATTAATCAACAAATCAGATCAACTTTTTAGGAACTATCATTGCTCAACTTCTCAATCTGCAAATTTATTCAAAATTACTGAATCTCAAAATATAAGTACCCTTTGGTTTGAACACAGAAAAGGTCGAATAACAGCTTCAAAAGCTCATGAGGTTTTAACATTAAGACCAACTACAAATCCTAATAAATTGATCATGAGACTTGCAGGATACAACTCATATGATCTCAGTAAAAAAGAGGCCATAAAATGGGGGCTGGAAAATGAAGCAACAACCAGAGATGCCTACATCCAATATATGGAAAAAAAACATACAAATTTTGAGTGTAAATTATCTGGGTTGAAGATATCTGAAAAAAATTATTTTCTTGGTGCTTCAGCTGATGGTGTGATTTCATGCAATTGTTGTGGACAAGGAACCCTTGAGATTAAATGTCCCCACAAGCATAAAGACAAAACTTCAATAGAAGCTGCAAATCAAGACCCTACATTTTGTTTGGACACAAACTTACACTTGAAAAATAACCACAAATATTACACTCAGGTTCAGTTACAGATGTTTGTCTATGACACTGATTATTGTGATTTTGTTGTAATGACAAGTCCTAATGATGTTATTTTGCTTGCTATTGTTAGAATTTGCAGGGATCCTGAGTTTTGTAATCATTTAATAAGTAAGTGCACTTACTTTGTTAAAGAGCTATTAATCCCAGAGCTACTTACCAGGAAATTGCTACATGATTATAAAGTAGCCAACACTTCAGTCAATGACGTCACAAAAGAGAAGTATTGCTTGTGTGAAGAACCAGAATATGGCAAGATGATTTTTTGTGATGGAGACTCATGTGATATTGGATGGTTCCATTATCAATGTGTTAACATTGTAAGGAAACCAAGGGGAAAGTGGCTTTGTCCAAAATGTAAAAAATAATTTGTGGAAGTAGTGTGCCATCAAACATATTTACAAAATAACCTCTTCTTGAAGCATGGATAACACTTGGTGTACCACTTAATACTTGAATACATTTTTTCTAGACAATTTTAGTTTAGGATTCTGGATTTTCATTTATCCATTATAATTGAAAAATTTTTACATCATATTTTCAAAAGAATTTTTTTTTCCAGAATTAATTTCACAACGATTTTTTAGTCTTTCAATCTGTTCCAAAATTAACATAATAACAACTTCAAGTGTATTGCGAGGTTCTCATAAGATTTTGGATTTTTTTTTATAAATTTGATATTGTTAATTTTGTAGATAAATTGAACATTTATCTGAAACTGGATAAGGATACATTCTTAACAAAAATAAAAAAAAATCTTTTTGAAATATATTATCATTGGCGGATCCAGAAATTATCATAAAGAGGGGGCACTGACTGCCTTAGAGGGGCCAGCTCCAGTCATGCTTCAGTGATTTCCTATATAATGAACCAAATTTTTTCAAACAAAAGAGGGGACACCCTGCCCCACCCTTAATCCTTTTCTGATTATGGGTGCATTGTATGTATCTGCAAAAGGCATATTCCAAAAAAAAAAGTGTAAAGAGTTGTAAGTCTCAAAATCAAGTGAGGGAGTTTCTTAATAGGTTATATGGTCAATTTTTCATAAAAGCTTTACAGTAAATGAAAAACAAGTATACCTAGTAATAACAATACTCCTTCTACTGTTTATTTAAATGTCAGACACCAATATTTTTCAGCACCTTATAAGATTCATTGAAAAATAATAATGCTGAACAAAAAAATCTGCAGAACAATTATCTTTCGGTGATGCCTCAGCAATTTTTGCTACAATAACTTCTTGAATTTGAATACAGATATCAAAAATTGAATTTGTTTTAAAAGTCAATGTTGGCTAGACAAAACAACAAGAAACATGTTGTTATGTACATGATGAGATATGAAAATTAGTAATTTTAAGGCCATGGAAAAAAGATTGTTGGTTTACCTAAAGTCTGTTGGGTCTGTTTTCACCCTCCAGTAATACTTGCTCTTAAACTATAAATGATCCTTGTCTGACCATTTCTCAAAATAATGTTTTATTTATCATTCTTCAAGTTTAAAGTAGGTGACATCACAATATAGATCAGATATGATGTCAACATTTTTCTTGTAGTCTGGTAGATATTTTGAACTACAATAATAGAAAAATAAAGTTTTTCTTGCCTGCTGACCTTTTAAAATTTTCTTGTGTTAGGGGAAACCAATATTAAATTTTCAATGGCCTTACCTATAATCAAGGGAAATGTGTTAATTTGTTATTGAACAATATTAGGGTGCATATTTATAATAGCAGAGCAAATTGTCATGATACTGTCAGAATGTGGCACCATATTCAATGACATCTTTCCAGACCAAATAGGGAAATTTTTCAGTCGTTCCATTTCTCTTTCAACATGAATTCTTACATGTGCAATATTTCGGCTTCTTTCCACTTCAAAGGCACTTAGCTGGTCTTTTCCCTTTACAAATGATGGTATAATTAATTCAGCCCCTCTCGATGCTAATTCGTCTTTAATAAGAAAGCCACGGTCTGCTAGGACAACATCACCATGATGTATAAAGTCAAGGTAACCAGATTTAAGAGAAATCAATTTATCTGAAGTCCTCCCCCCAAATGCACGTGAAACAAAAGAAATACTTCCACACGGAACAATACTGACTAAAAACTTAATTGTATTGTGGTGCTTATAGTTACTGTAAGTACAAGATCTGGCTGTAAAATTTGATGGAGTCTCTATATAAACTTCTGTACAGTCAATAACAGAAACACATCTGGGAAAGGCCTCCTTAAAGCAGTCTGGTCTAGAGCGTAAAATATCATCTTTATTTGGCCAATGAATCAACCATTTTAATTTGTGGGCTAATTGAGGGATGACACTGTCAATTAAATTGGTAACTAAACTAAGAGAAACTCCAAAACGAAATGAGATATCAGTATGTGGAGAATTTAAACGTAATTTCATTAAAACCAAAAGAAGAATGTCTGCTGAACTCAAAATATTGGAAGAAGGTAAAATACAGGTCACAAAGTTCACCAACCAAATAAAACATGTATAAGATGGCAATCCGGTATAAAATTTTGTTGTTTCTTCTGTTTTCTCCAGGGATAGACTAGAAGCCCTCATATAAGGTGGTTTATTATTTAAAACATTTTTTTCTAACTGCAGTTGTTGAAGTTGATCTATTAGGATTTTGTTTTCACTTATGGCATTTTTTAATAATATACTGCAATTTTCATATTCTCCTTTACCTGAAATATAAAGAGTTATAAATTAACCAAAAATGCTATAAACATTTCCATTTGGCAACAAGGACACTTGAAACTTTTCTTAAATTACATAAGCATGATAAGGGTCAAATGACTTTTACTGAAATAATTTACTTTTGTGTGGCTTGTAAACTTAATGTAACTTGTACTATAAAATCATTTCCTTGTTTTACTTTTATAAAAATGTCTAAATTATATATCAAATTTGCAGTTTTCCAATTAAGAAAACCAGATTCACTTTGAGCTTTTGGATACTAATAAAGGATGAATTAAACTCCATCTATATAAACATCAAAGTAACTGAAAAGTGTCACAAGGAACAGCATAACCTGATGAAGGTTGGTGTCATATATCAAGAAGTTGTTTTTACAAGTGCATGGTCTATTTTCTGAATAAAATTGACATTTATCCATTGTAAATGAGCTTGTGTCTGTCCCAAGTGAGGAGCCTATAGTTCAGTGGTTATGATTGGTTCATGTATGTCATATTTGCTTTTAGAATTTCCTTTGCGGTAAATTAAGCGTGTGTGTGTGTGTTTGTTTGTTTGTTTGATTAGTTGTCTTATTGGCAATCATACCACATCTCATTATTTTCGTACTAACATTTTAAAGAAATAGTTTGCAGTAGACAGGGATTAAAACATCAAAAAATATTAACAAGTACATGTATAGGTACCATACAGCCTTAACCAATGTGCAAAATTAATACTGATGATATATTAAGCTTTCTACATAGAGTCCTAGGAAAAATATAAAATGTATGATAAATTTGTTGCCTTTTCATCTCTGTACAAAAAACATTGTTTATTGCACTACTTGATTATGGATTTTATTGCAATTGAATACATTGTGGTATGTTTATACATTTTTTTTTTAAATATACGCTGTGCAGCATTTAAATTAACTGCTAATAAATTATTAATGGAGAAACTGAAGGCAACAAGTCCAAAAAGATTATTAACCCTATGAACACATAAGAATAGTAAACTAAGTTCTGGTACCATTTTTGTCTTCCATGTCTACATTGCAGTCTAAGTCTTGTAATGGCAGATGATCATTTTCTTTGCCATCAGCTGTCATCAATAAGTCCAACTGCATTCTGCATTCTCTCTCCTTTTGATCAGCAGTTCTTTTAACAGCTCTTTTATATCTTTTAAAAAATAGTGAAAATGTTACAATAAACTGAAACCAGAACTTACTTTGGATACAAATTTTAAGTATTTCTTTTCAAATTAGTAACTGTAGACTACAACATCACTTACTGTGAATTTAGTACTTAGTGAATTGCTGTCTATAAATGAATGATTTTTTTGAAGTATTTGCAATTAGTATATCATAGATGTATTTTATATTCAATTGTTGATTAATATTCTCAAGTTTCTATTATTTTATTTGGCCTAATAAAAGACTTATAATATATCTAAGGCCAAAAAAAAAAAATAATATGTGTGTTTCCTATTACATCTTTGAAAAAAAAAGGGTAGGTAGGTAGGTTTTTTTTTTTATTTTACCATTTTTATTACATTGAGTCTATGGGAGGGACATTCTGACTTTAAAAGTGCAAACTGAAAAATGACAACAAAAAAACTTTAGGGTAGGCTATTTTTGAGCTTAAAAAATAGGGAGGGTAGGGTAATAGGAAACACACATCTTTTTTTATTTTTATCAAAAAAAGCTGTAAACTATATATATGGTATGTATAATGAAAACTGTGAATTGGAATATTATTTAAAAACTAAAGATGATAGAAACATTTTATTACATTAGGTAGGTTGAGACTGGTAGATGGCATAATATTGCAAGTGATAATATGAAATACTTATGTATAACTCTGGAGATATCAGATGAATTTCTTTCTATTTGTAAATGTCCTATATTTAATGATGATCATAAATAGTTATTGAGAAAAGAAATATACTAATCAACCAAATTTACTACATATACAACATGTACATTATGTAATTTTTATTGTGTGTACATGTATCTCTTTAACAGTGTAATATGGTATGCTGATAAATAAAGATATAAAACATTGATTCATACCTAAATCTTGTTTAAAACACTTTCCCATAATTGATATATAAAAAAGAAGATGTGATATGATTGCCAATGAGACAACTCTCTACAAGAGACCAAATGACACAGAAATTAACAACTATAGGTCAGCGTACAGCCTTCAACAATGAGCAAAGTTCATACTGCACAGTCAGCTTTAAAAGGCCCCGAAATGACAATGTAAAACAATTCAAACGAGAAAACTAGCGGCCTAATTTATGTACAAAAAATGAACGAAAAACAAATATGTAACACATAAACAAACGACAACCGCTGAATTACAGGCTCCTGACTTGGGACAGGCACATACATACAGAATGTGGCGGGGTTAAACATGCTAGCGGGATCCCAACCCTCCCCTAACCTGGGACAGTGGTGTAACAGTACAACATAAGAACGAACTATAACAAGAGTGCACACGCTGAAATGTATCGCCTTCTTTACTAATCATTGATATTATGTTGATAGTCCTAAATATAAAGCTTTACTACAACTATCACAAACACTTGACATGATCCAAGAAAATGAGGTCAAGGTCATATAAACCAAACAAGAAATACATGTACACCTTACAATCATTCAATACACTAAATATTGTTGACCTTTTGTTTATAGTTTCTAAGATACAGGCTTAACCAAGAAAACTAAACATTGACCAATGAACCATGAAAATGAGATCAAGGTGAGATGAACCATGCCAGGCAGACATGTACAGCTTGCAATCCTTCCATACAACAAATATAGTTGACCTATTGCTTATAGTATTAGAAAAACAGACCAAAACACAAAAACTTAACACTGAGCAATGAACCGTGAAAATGAGGTCAAGGTCAAACCTGCAAGACTGACATGTACAACATAAAATATTTCCATACACCAAATATAGATGACCTATTGCATATAGTATTAGAAAAAAATACCAAAAACTCAAAAACTTAACTTTGACAACTGAACCATGAAAATGAGGTCAAGGTCAGAAGACACATGCCAGCTAGACATGTACACCTTACAATCATTCCATACACCAAATACAGTAGACCTATTGCATACAGTATAAGAAAAACAGACCAAAACACAAAAACTTAACTATAATCACTGAACCATGAAAATGAGGTCAAGGTCAGATGACACCTGCCAGTTGGACATGTACACCTTACAGTCCTTCCATACACCGAATATGCTAGACCTATTGCTTCTAGTATCTGAGAAATAGACTTGACCACCAAAACTTAACCGTGTTCACTGATCCATGAAACGAGGTCGAGGTCAAGGGAATTCTGGCTGACGGGCATAAGGACCTTGCAAGGTACGCACATACCAAATATAGTTATCCTATTATTCATAGTAAGAGAGAAATTATCATTACAAAAAATCTTAACTTTTTTTCAAGTAGTCACTGAACCATGAAAATGAGGTCAAGGACAATGGACATGTGACAGATGGAAACTTCATAACATAAGGCATCTATATACAAAGTATGAAGCATACAGGTCTTCCACCTTCTAAAATATAAAGCTTTTAAGAAGTTAGATAACGCTGCCGCCGCTGTAGCCACTGGATCACTATCCCTATGTCGAGCTTTCTGCAACAAAAGTCGCAGGCTCGACAAAAATCAGTTGAAAGAGGCTTAACTCATCAGATGGATAAAAATACAAATACTACAAATACATGTGGACTTGGCCGGGTACTTGTACATCCAAACAACAAAAAGGATGAGATTTGAAAAAAGGCAAGACAGGAGTTTTGAGCAAAAAAAAGGCAGGATGACAATTTATATAAAAAAAGTCAGGATAAACTAACAAAAAAAATGCAGGACTGAATAGAGTGAAAAATAAAAATGTAGGACAAAGATTACAACTAAAAAAAAATGCAGGACAAAATTTTTCATCCTAGCCCCCCCCCCCCCCCCCCCATAAAAATCAAATGGTAGCTCCCTAAGTATTCATCTTAAACCGGTTCACATTCCGCTATATATTTTATTTCATTAGAAGTCCAAAACCATTCTGCTCGTTCATTGCAACATGCCATAAGATGAAGAGGTCACATTGTCCCTTCACACCTTAGTTAGAATGAGAGAAGGAAATATAACTTGAAGTTACAATTAAAAAATTGATGGCCATTTTTTAAAAATGCATTATATAAGATCAACGATAAAATTAAAATGTTGTTAATAAATCGTCAATAAGGAGCAAGGTCATATGAATCCTGACACAGAGATACCTACACCTTATACCATCAATACTTTCACATACTGCTTATACATGTAGTATTTGAGACACAGACCAAAGTACGAAAATTTAACATTAACTAACAAACCATGAAAATACATGTATATATTACAGTTGACCTATTGGTTACACACTATGTATAAAACAAATTAACCCAAGAATATATCAGTTATGAAGGAAAGAAGAACAATAAAAAAAGAACATCTGAATAAAAACAAAATTCGTAAGGGTTCCGCGGAACCCAGTGTCTCGCCTACTTTTGCTGTTAATCGCAGGCTCAACAAAAATGAGGAAAAAAATTAATAAAAATATTCCTCTCTATACTATCTTTTGATTGTAAGTAGCTTCTGTCCAAGTTTGGTAAAAATCCAGGATAGTTTATCAATCTAATAAATGTTTTAAAAACTTAAAGTGCAGACTGTATGTAATGTTAACTGGAAGAAAAACTAAGTCCATTTACAAGTAAAATACGGAAAAAATGGAATTTATTTTTTACTTTTTTACAAAATTTACTTCTGGATACTATCTTTTGATCATAAACAAGGTTCTTTCCAAGTTTGGTAAAAATCCAGGATAGTTTAAGAAAGTTATTAAAATTTCAAAAACTTTAACCACAGAGTGAATGTAATGTTTCATGGCAGAAAAACTAAGTCCATTTATAAGTAAAATACAGAAAAAATGGAATTTTTTTTTTACAAAATTTACTTCTGGATACTATCTTTTGATCATAAACAAGCTTCTGTCCAAGTTTGGTAGAAATCCAGGATAGTTTAAGAAAGTTATTAAAATTTCAAAAACTTTAACCACAGAGTGAATGTAATGTTTCTTGGCAGAAAAACTAAGTCCATTTATAAGTAAAATACGGAAAAAATGGAATTTTTTTTTTTACAAAATTTACTTTTGAATATTATCTTATGATCATAAACAAGCTTCTGTCCAAGTTTGGTAGAAATCCAGGATAGTTTAAGAAAGTTATTAAAATTTCAAAAACTTTAACCACAGAGTGAATGTTATGTTTCTTGGCAGAAAAACTAAGTCCATTTATAAGTAAAATACGGAAAAATTGGATTTTTTTTTTTACAAAATTTACTTTTGAATATTATCTTATGATCATAAACAAGCTTCTGTCCAAGTTTGGTAGAAATCCAGGATAGTTTAAGAAAGTTATTAAAATTTCAAAAACTTTAACCACAGAGTGAATATTTGTGGACGCCGCCGCCGCCGACGACGACGCCAACGGAATGTAGGATCGCTATGTCTCGCTTTTTCGACAAAAGTCGAAGGCTCGACAAAAAAGAGTATATATTTAACATGTTTAACATTGAAAATATATGTCAATTGTCAAATTTGAAGATACATGTAGCAGTCTTGAATTTAATGGATCAAACGTTATTAGGACATATGATAATCCTTTTATATGTCAGTTAGCGTCTCAAAAAAACAGACATAGAAAAATGTTATTAGCAATTAAATCAAAACCATACCAAATATTATTGTTATACACATATATGCACTTTCACAGTACTTTATCTGTGAATGCCCATTATTTTGTCATTGCACAGTCATCTTTTTCTCTAACTCTTTATATTTTTAATAAGCTTTGGATTTTCAAATATTTTCGCCTCGAGCATCACTGAAGAGACATTGATTGTCTAAATGCGCATCTGGTGCAGAAAAATTGGTACTGTTTATGTTATTAATCTTGCGCCCTTAACCCTGAATGTGACCTACCAATTTAGACTTATCACAGGGTTTGAACAAGAGCAACACAACAGGTACCACCAGTATTCGTTCCATGGCCTTTTAGCATCATGAGAATGTGATACTAATTGATATAAGTTTCTTTTACATAGTTTACATAGAAACAAGATGGTATTTTATATATAATTCCCTTTTTGCTAGGAAGATATTCACTGCTAGATATGTGGACAATCTGACATAATAAAATTTGTGGAGTAATTGTGGACAAATTACTAATTCCAAACATGAAAACAAATTGGGCAGCACTTCCCCTTGAAAATGTGAATTTCCACCCTTGCTAGTAGATTCCAGGCCAAAACAGGAAGAATCAAGAAAGAAAATGATCGGTGTGGGGGCAGGTTCATTTATAAAACATGAAACCATACACCATATCATGCCTATGATAGAATATGTTAAAATACAAACCATAGCCTTGTCCTCAAGACCTCATGTCAATTCCAACAAACAATGTCAATGGCAGTCCTTGTACTACCTACACTATACACCTTATCGCTATTTAGTCCAATCCGGAAAAAACAGTCATTTAGACAACTTCCTGTTTGGGTCAACAGGCCGCAAACAAAGGTCATCAGTAACGAGCTGAGGGAGGGAAAAATTTAGAAAGCGATCAATAGGAAACTTTGATAGATTATGATCCACTTTTTCCAAACTCAAATTAAAGTAAAAAAAATATTGTGTTTGAAGTATTTACGATGTTTTAAACAGGTCTCATTAAAAAGTATCATGCATGGTGCATTGTTTAAACAGGGTCCCAGATAGCGTCAACTGGATGAAAAAGTTGTGTAATTTTAGAACTTATCCGGAATGGAATAAATAGCGATTAGGTGTATACAGGTCTGTGTAATTTATAAGGAGTGAACTAGTTTTAAAAACCCATAAAAATATTGAATAAATAGATACCTATACTTACTTTTATGTTAACAGGTATGGTAAATTGTAAACTGGTTAAAGTCGTAAACATCATTGTTGTTATATATATATATTTGAGACAAGTGCCCGTCAGAAAAATTGCGACACGTTGTTTATGCATTGAAGTTTAGATGTAAAATGGATATAACAAGAACTGGAATACATATGCAATGTTTTAAAGGGTTAAGATAAAGCATTGCTTTTAATTTTTACCATCAATGAAATGTTCACTGCACACTCTGTCTCTGGCTCCCTCGTCACCAGATATCCAAACTTTTCCTGTTAAAGAATAAAGGGTCCCTTCGGTTTATTGCCTTTATCCAAAGCTGTTTTCTTTCTTCATCTTTTGGAATCCTGTGGAATTTGATTCCTGGCTGTTTGTGACTATCTCGATTTCGGCAACCTAACACTACGCACACTTTACCCATGGTTTGTTAGTAAACAGACGACTGCAGACTTCCGTTTCAGTCACATGGCGCCGAACGGAAATGGCCGATTGACGGCCAGACTTCCCCGGATTTAAAAATAGAACCGAGATGACGTCATCGATAAAACCTCCTTATATCTGTCTCAGATGTGTGGTGTAAATACTATACGCTCATATTATCCAAAAGTTCATGATGAACCCTGCTCAACACTTTATCAACCGCACGTAATTCTATGCATAAAATTTGGATGTAAAATGAAAAATATCAATGAATATAACAAACCTTCTTTGTCATGTGTTTTTGTTTCTTTTACAATGGTTACATTTCTTAAAGGGCGATAATCAATTTCAAAAATACATATGGAGCACCAGGTAAACAATATTGTGCAATGCATTCGATTGCTGTTGATAGAAACAGTATTAGAATAAGTTGATTATCATTCACCATAAGTTAAAAACAATATACACAATGCAATACATTGAATGCGTTTATCTAGTTTATTTGCCTTCATAACACACAATTATTTTTTTAACACTCTTAACTTTCTATGATAATTTTTGTATTCTTGTCTTTTATTTTTGCTAATTTAAATGTGCTTTGTCTATATACCTTTTTGTATTTCTTTGATACATGTACGTTTGACGTGGCTCTATACTTATACATCCCGTCATTGTGTCATTGTGCTATGATAAATTTTTGTATAATTATGGTCTTTAATTTTTGTTAACTTGTGCTCAATTGTCAATATATGCCTTCCCTTACCGAAAAATAATTCTTGTGGTAAATATTTGCAGCAAACTTGCAGCAAACATTGCCGCAACCATTTAATTAACCATGCAAATGAAGGTTGCGGCAAGTTTGCAGCAAACAGAATTATGCAAACTTAACGCAATTGTTTGCTGCAAACTTGCAGTTACTACACATATACCAATGTCATTCAATTCAACTCTTTCAAATTACACATCAAAATTTAAAAAAAGAAAGAACTTCCTTCCTATATACCACAACCAGTCATTGAAAGAATACTTGCAAACTTACGAGATATAAGGAAAAAGTCATACATGCATTTCATTTTGGGGGCGGAGGGTCGTTCTGAAATGATATCATTTACCGGTAGTAAGAAATAAAAAAAGGTTTAAATCTCAAGTGTGTATTAAGCTATAGGTGATAATTGCGTTACAGAATTGAAATTAACTTTATTAAACAGTATACATTTAATCAGTTACAAAATTCAAACTTATAAATAGCTAGAGTATTTCAAACACATACATTGTATATGTGTTGAACACTAACTATAATAAAGTTAACAACTATAGTTGAGTTCTTTATTTTGTATGATGGTGACATTAATCATTTTATTTTAAAATCAACAGTTCTATGAACAATTTGTACTTACAAAATTACATATTGAATACAGTATCCTATATTATTGAACCAAAATGCCTCCTTGATCTCTTATACATGCAACATTTATCAAATACAATCAATATGACCTAGACCAAAATTTCAAATTGTTAGCTTCCAGGAAGTGGCAACTAGGCATACCCACTCAAAATTGTGTAATTATTGCAATGTTCTGGCAAACATATAGAATGGTCAAAGGTTTCTGCAATCTTGCGGCAAACATTGATGTCTCTGCAATCTTGCCGCAAGCTTGCAGTGTTTGTTGGATGTTTGCAGCTATTTTCTGTTTTCCTGCAAACTTGCAGCCAGTCTGCTGCAAACATTTTAGTTCCATAAGGGTTTTTGGGTTTCTTTGTTACATATATTTGTTTGTTTTTTTTAGTGATTAAGATTATAACATAGTGTTGACTGCTGTACCCCTATTTTGACATTTTTAACTATTCATGTCTGTTTGTTTTGTTCACACTGTCACATCGTTGTCAATATAATGAAAGTTAATGCGACTGTCATACAAGTGAGAGGTTTAGCTAGCTATAAAACCAGGTTTAATCCACCATTTTCAACATAAGAAAATGCCTGTACCATGGCCAAGTCAGGAATATGACAGTTGTTATCCATTCGTTTGGTGTGTTTGAGCTTTTGACTACCCTCTGAGTACAGTATTTTTATGATTTTACTTTTCAGTACGTGCGCCAGACTGTAATACAATATATTACGCACGTTAGAATATACAATACGCAAACTAAAATAAAACGTGAACACCAATTGAAAACTCAATATTGTATTTATTAACTATTCAATCACTCACAAGAAACTATTAATTTATACAACCATAACATTTGTATGAGCATGATGAGGTCGATACAGGATATTTTGACCTGAAAGAAGTATGTTGACTGAGGACAAAGTAACTTTCAGTTTTCAGTTCATTAATTGTATATCACATAATATGTTTTAGGGGCCTCAGTGGCCGAGTGGTCTAAGTAGTTACTACTGTAATCACTAGCCAGTTTAACACTGAGGTTGTGAGTTCGATCCCCGCTCGTGCGGGTGCACTCGACTCCAATCTTAATTGACTAGAATTGTCAGTTTTCCTATCGAAGGTCGGTGGTTTTCTCCGGGCACTCCGGCTACCTCCACCAATAAAAACTGGCCGCCACGAAATAGCCCAAAAGCGGTGCTCAAAAGTGGCGTTAAAAAAACAAAAATCAAATCAAATGTTTATATTTTCAGGACAATGACACACATGAAATGCATTTTGCATGATTTTTTATAATTGTTTCTTAATGTTTAAATTTATGTGACGAGTATAAATTGCATGCTTTTATTATTTTTCCCCAAAAGGTGTGGACTCGTACTTTATTATGTCCAAGGATCAGCATATAAATGTTCTAAAATGTCGGTAAAAATTGATATGAAAATATGGGAAAGAAAACATTGTATTTGCTGTAACATCACAAATCAATGTAGCAGTTAGATCAATGTTTCAAAATGCAATATTGGAATGAGGACAAGATGGACCATGACACGTATGTGAATTAGATTTAAAACACACTACAACTCATGTGGATAAGAATTTTTTTTAAAATACACAACAACCCTAGGAATTAAATTTAAAAATAAGTATATGTAAGAGAATGATAATCCCTTTCTACACGATTAAGTACGAGCGTTAGCATTCTCTTACAAACTTAGAATATTTTAAAGTGGATAAGGCGCAAATGATCTCTTGATTGGTTGTATTAATAAATGCACCAATGCCTTTTTTTTTAACTATTTCATTTATGGATTAGTTTTAGTGATATAAGGACTTTCTTATAATTTTGGAAAATATAATAGATTGTGTTTTAGACATTAGATGACACAACAGTACAATGAAATAGTAAAAAAGGTTTCCTGTTTTTTTTGTAATTTATTTTTATTTTATCTGAAAAAAACCCAAGCATTGTGATACATTAATATATAGATAATTCATAATACACGTATTAATATTAAATTTTTCAATAACAGTCTAAAATTAAAAAGTTAGATATGCTAATTGTATATTATATATATATGATAATTAGACATTTGCGGAAACTTTCATACATCTACGATTAGGATTACAATTACACTTACTGGTAACTTTAAATCTTGGGTCTTCTCAAAGTGTAAATATAAAACTTCGTTCCAAAACAAAGTCTAACTCCTATGAATTTTTTTTCTATAGTTGAACAACGGGGTTTTAAAAAAATGAATGTAGTAATGTGTATACATAATTATTAAACATGGTGTAATCAAGGTTTGACATGATGCAAATGTACGGAGTATGATAAAATAGTAAACTATAATTCAATGAATTTTACACGAGACGTGAAAAAAAAATCGCAATTGTCGTAGGCTAGGTTTATCCTCAAAATAATTCCTTTGATTAAAAGGGATATCAAAATGGTGCAAAGGTTTATTATTTTTAATTTTAGTTTCTTGTGTACAATTTGGAGTTTAGTATGGCGTTCATTATCACTGAACTAGTATATATATTTGTTTAGGGGCCAGCTGAAGGACGCCTCCGGGTGCGGGAATTTCTCGCTGCATTGAAGACCTGTTGGTGACCTTCTGCTGTTGTCTGTTCTATGGTCGGGTTGTTGTCTCTTTGACACATTCCCCATTTCCATTCTCAATTTTATTAACTGGCGAGAAGAAGTTGTTAAAATAAGTCACACACTATTTAAGTCGCTAAGGGAGCAGATGCGGATACAAAAGAGTAATCGTGAAAACAAAGGACATTGATACAAATGTATTTCAAAAAACTGCGCTGAGGTGGGTTAAATAATTATATTATGTAACTTGTTTACCGCATTTTCCCGTGATTTTCAAGTGCGCCATTTGCAGAGTACCACCAGAACGAAATTTTGGCTGATTTTTCTATACAAAAATATTGAAGACACAATTTTAGAATATAACATAAAGAGAAGATCCATGTTTCTCGGGGAGAGCGTATGCTTCTCTGCTTGTTTTTGTGGATGACAAAAGATATCCGAATAGACATCAAGCATTGACACCTTATACAAGATTATTCGAGAACTCCCAGAATATGCAGAGTGAATGTAGACAATTAAAAACACGTATTACACACTAAAGAGTGAAGGTTGAAATTAATAAATAAATATGCAAAGTTTATGGGGATTTTCGGTGACATCCAATACAGCGATTCGAATCTGTTGTGACCATATGCGCTGCATTAGTATGTCGTCGAAAAGTCATATTACAATACTAAAAAAAATCATTTGGTTTTACTATGTATCTCTATTATTTTTTTTAATTTTGAGATGACCCCTTGTTTTTCGTGAACTGTAATCGTAGGTCTGAGTGTAATCCTGGTATAGACCTAGTATCCGCAAATGTCTATTATCTACTCGATCATACTCATCATTTATCACTCTGGATTAGAATACCTGAATATGTTGATAAGGTTAATGGCATCAGCTAGCCTTCTCCTCTAGCCACATGCATCACTGTCTATACAATGATGTTGAACATGAGAGGTACCAGGAGAGGCCACAAGAGATCATTCACAGATAAGGATCAGACATGACATATTGGACAGAATCACAAAATAAATGACAACCTAAATTAAGGGGAGATAATTCAAATACAATCGAACAAAAACAAATGTTTCCTGTTTGTGAGTATGAATGTAAATCATCACCATGTAATATTTTAGCGAGGATTTATCTTTTTTGTTTATTTCCAGTTTAAATCAATAAATTCAAAATTTAAGTAACAACTAAATTTTATTTTACATCAAATATGTAAGTCTAGTCCTTTACATCAGATCAGAGGCAGATTTATGGGGAAAACTTGGTTGATTATTTAGGAAATTACTAAAGCATGACTGGTGCAGCCCCCTTTTTGGCAGTCAATCCCTCTCCCCCCTTTTTGAAAATTTCTGGATCAGCTACTACAAATTGTTTTCAGGGACATGCTGATATACAATGCCTTTAAAAGTTTAAAATATATTCAAAAGATAAACATAATTCCTTTCTTTAGATTTTATCAGAATATTGGAAAGCTATTCTCACTTACCGCGGATTCAATAATATGAGATTTTGAAAGAGTATAAGTTTACTATTTAGGTATTATTCAATCTTAAATTGATTGGTTTTTTTTGCGCTGCTTTGATATTGTTTATTTTTTTAGTAATTTGAATTCGAAGTTATTAATATTCTCATAATAACACTTCAGGTGCCAATATTACTGCTCCAATAAACTTCATCTTCTTCTAATTTATATGTTTGTTTCAAAAATCAACTTTTAGTCAGTTTTAATCACAAATTCTTGACAGCTGATAAATGTGCTTTGGGGCATTTGTAACTCATTCATAAAAACTCTTTGTTTTGAACTGTAAGTAGGTCTAAACAATAGGAAAATCCTTTACTAAGAACATGATTTCATCCATTCTTCACAATTAAGAAATACCAAATCCTATAATTTCATTAGTCGAGTTCTAAACTACAATTCGTGAGAATTTTATATAAAATACAAGACAACTCATATGGATTAGATTTAAAATACATTAAACAAGTGGATTCCAATTACAAATACACTGCAACTCATTCAGAACATACTCACCCTTCTCGTCCAATGAAAAGTCATTTCTCCCTCTAATTTTCATAGTACATGGCATTCCATGCTCTATAAAATACTATACATGAATGACTTTTCATTGTAGATTAATTATGAAAGTGAACTCTTAATAACTACAATAACGAAGTGTACAATACCCTGAGGACTTTTCCTTGGGAAAATAGCCTTCCTATTAAAGATGAAAGATTAAAGAATAAAATTCAAAACCAATTGCTCAGAGAACAATTGAAGGTCTTTCTACATCAATTTTCAAAGTTATTTGAAAGAAGCTAGTTCTGGTTTACTCAAGTTAAAATTGGTATCCAATCATAAGTTTCTTCAAACTGATGCGATAAATGAATGGAACCGAAAAGTGGAAAGACCTAATAATAATCAGAACAAATACAACAGGTCTTTCCACCAAAAAGTGGAAAGACCTAAAAAAAACATTTTGAATTTTGCAAACGTGAATATATTTTGTAATGGTACTCATATATCTGGCATTTGAGTGAATTAATTTTTTTTCTTTCAAGAAAACAATGCCAGACTGCTGAAGGATTTTGTTTTTGAGAAACACAATACAAGTACATTTATCAATAAAAAGTAGGCATCTAATGTTGAATGATGGTCTGAATTAAAATATTTATACAGTGAGTTTTATAATTATAAAAAAATCAAAAAGCGGATTTATATAACATTGTGTGTATTTTAAATTCCAATTATAAATATAACTTATCTGAGGAGCGATTTTGACCCGTCTCCATCTTGCTTTCGTAACCTCTCTCTCTCTCTCTCTCTCTCTCTCTCTTTCTCTCTCTCTCAATTAGTATTAGATGTATCTTAAATCGACCTTATCTTATAGATAATCCCACGAGTTGTGGTGTTATCAAATTGCAATGAACTGTCAGCTTCGCCTTAAGCTTTAAATCTTCATAAAACATGACCAAGTATTGTTTAACCTATAAGTAGACAACAATTTTAAATACACCACAACTCATGTGGATTAAAATTTTAAAATACACTACAACTCAAGGGATTAAATTTTAAAATACACTACAACTCAAGGGATTAAATTTTAAAATACACTACAACTCAAGGGATTAAATTTTTAAATACACTACAACTCAAGGGATTAGATTTTAAAATAACTACAACTCGTGTGAATTTTATCTAAAATACAGCACAACTCATATGGATTAGATTTAAAATACACTACAACTGAGGTAAATAAGATTTTTAACTCACTTCAACTCATATGGATTAGATTTAAAATACACTACAACTCATATGGATTAAATTCAAAATACACTTCAACCCATGTGGATTTAATTTTAAAATACACTACAACTGATGTGAAATAGATTTATAATTCACTACAACGTAGGTAGATTAAATCTTAAAATATCCTTCAACTGATGTGGATTAGAATTAAAATACATTACAACTGATGTGGAATAAATTTACAATACACTACAACTAATGTGGATTAGATTTATAATACACTACAACTAATGTGGATTAGAATTTACAATACACTACAACTCATGTGGATTAGAATTTATAATACACTACAACTCATGTTCATTGCAATTTATGTATGTAGGTTATATTGTTGTTAAAAATATATCATAGGATAAATATTTCAATATATCAATACGAAAACGGAGTGGTATTGGATGTCTCAGCTGCTCATCACTAACACCACATGATCAATGTGTCCAGATCTCATGCAGTGAATGTTAAGTCTATTCAGTCAAGTGTGTGTTGTCATGTGGTTCTGCAAGTGTGTGATGTCACGTGGTTCTGTAAGTGTTGATGAGACACATGAATATTAGTCCACAAACTTCACAATCATTTAAATTCAGTCAAGTATGTGTGGTCAAGTGTGTGATGTCACGTGGTTCTGTAAGTGTTCATGAGACATGAATATTAGTCCACAAACTTCACATTTAATATCAGTATGTTTCTTCATGTGTGTAGCTAAGTTGCCTCTTTGATTGAATCCTGTCTCGCAAATATCACATTTATAAGGTTTATCACTAGTATGTGTTATCATATGTGTCGTTAAGTTGCCTCTTTGATTGAATCCTTTACAGCAAACATCACATTTATAAGGTTTACCGCCCGTATGCGTTCTCATGTGTGCCTTTAACCCGCTATTGAGACTAAATTCCTTGCCACATACATCACATTTATAAGGTTTGTTTCCAATATGTGTTCTGCCGATGTGGTTCTTTAAGTTTACGATATTATTAAACACTTGAAAGCATACATCACATTTATAAGGTTCATCAACCGTATGTAATTTTACGTGTTTATCAAAGCTCCATCTATAATAAAACGATCTACAACATACATCACATTCATAAGGTTTATCACCGGTATGTATTCTCATGTGTCTATTCAAGTTCTCTCTACCTTTAAAACCTTTACCACATACATCACATTCAAAAGGTTTATCTCTATTCTTTCCGGTATGTGTTCTCTTTATGTGTAACTGTAATCCACCGCTTCTACTGAATTCTTTACTACAAACACCACATTTAAATTCTTTATATCCATCATGTGTTCTAATGTGTTTAGCTAAGTTCGATTTATGATTAAACCGTGTACAACATACATCACATTTATAAGGTTTATCACCAGTATGTGTTCTCATGTGTGCCTGAAACCCGGCGTTTAGACTTAATTCCTTACCACATACATCACATTTATAAGGTTTCATTCTAATATGTGATCTTCTGATGTGGTTCTTTAATATTACACTGTGATCAAACACTCGAAAACATTCATCACATTTATAAGGTTTGTCACATGTGTGTGTTCTCATGTGTCTAGTTAGGCCGCTACTTGTATTACACCCTTTATAACATACATCACATTTATAAGGTTTTACACCAGTATGTGTTCTCATGTGAGCCTGTAAACTACCATTAACCCCTTTTCCACATACATTACATTTATAACGTTTTTCAATGGTATGTGTTCTTAGATGGGTTTTTAAGATGCCTTTTGTACTGAACCCTCTACCACATATATCACATTTATACGGTTTATCACCAGTGTGTATTTTCATGTGTTGTAGTAAATAAGGTTGCCGACTAAACGTTTTATTACACACACCACATATAAAAGGTCTATCAGATGTTTGTGTTCTCACGTTTCCGTGCAACTGGTAATTTATTGAAACACTATCTGCTGTGATATCTTCATTAAATTTAAAAGATTTCATCCCTGAATGTGTTCTTATTTGTTTTTCTAGATCTGAATTACAACTCAAATCTTTATCACAAATAGTTTGTTCCTTAATTTGACACCTTGTTTGGTCCTGTGGTGCATGGCAATTAGTCTGATCAAGGGACATAATCGTAGAAGTTTTATCTTCGTTATTAGACATAGTCTCTTATTATCTATATGTAGTTCTGTATTTGTTTGTCTGGTAATGGATATCTCTAATTCTTCTATACGCAGTTAATCTTAGATTAAAATGATTTACTTCATGTGTATAAAGTCAGAAATAAAGGAAATATTCCAGGACTTTGTTGTTCTTGCAGGCTGAAAATATATAATTATGTATTTATTTACTTCATTAATTCACCCATGTCTCAACCTATAAAATTATCACAGGAACTAGGGAAGAAGACGATACTTTTTTGACATTGCTTTATACGTTTGATCTATATTATTTCCATTACCAGAAATACTCTTTTACCATATTCTAGTTTATCACGTAATTTAAAGATCTTGAAACGTTTCATGAGCTAACTTGACCCCTGCATCTTTGAACTTATAAAGTAATAGACAACTTTCGAGTTCGATGCATTTCTGTCAAAAACTTTGATTTTAGTAAACATCATTCGTGTGTTTAAGGGCATCGTCACTTCCGTTCCCATGTTGAGCGAGTGGTTAGAAAAATAAGATGCCGCTATTGCACGAATTATTCGGCAAATCAAATTCTTAAATTGACAATCAACACTGCTGTCATTAGGGAATTGTGAATAAGTATCAACGGAACAAATAGTATTTCTAGTTTATCCTGCACAATGACGATCACTAAGACGCTTGATGAACGTTAATAGTGCAGTGACACACAGGCGATCCCTCTATCTGGTAAATGACGTCATAAAGGCGCGCATAATTGACGGATTTTTTTCCCGGTGAAGGACATAATTCGAAAGTGGTCTACATGAAGGACATAATTTGAACACCTGTCTTTATTCTTTTGTGTATAATCCGACCCTGCCTGAAGAAATATATTAATTTTATCATTTAGAAACAGTTATTGACGCAGTCATAAGGAAGATGTATCCCCATTAGAATATGTATATTCCTTAGCCCAAAGTACCGCAGATTTTATAGCCAACAAACGCATAAATAACATCCCCTGAAACCAAATGGATTTTCCATGCATAATCAATACAAAATCTGACAATTTGCACAACTTGTAGTTTCAAAAAAAGTTCGGTAACCCATACTTTTTATTATATTTTGGAAAAAAAGCATGATAAAAACTACATTTTGAAAAATTATTAAAACATTCTATGGAATTTATTTAAGTCCCCCCCCCCCCAAAAAAAAATTACCTTAACAAGTTTATCACCCTGTGTTATATCAAATAGTTATAAACACAACTGTACAAGCTGATGCATATACACTTTGTTTTATCTTTTATATATATAAAGTTATAAAAAAATCTCAAATTGATTTTGAATTAATCAAAAACTATATTTCCATGAAATTCCAAGTTATCATGGAAAATAGTTACACCAGCGTGATGCTTAACAAATAGTTCCAATCATACTCCCTTCCGTACATTGCCAAATTTTAAAATGAATAATCTGATTCTTCCTCCAATATCAGACTTCACCTGGGGCTTTGTATGGCATGGTATTGGTTGCAAAAATTTGATATTTTTCATTTAAATGCAATATTTCTTATTTAATTGGTATATTTCTTCATTTAAATGCAACATTTTTTTATTTGAATGGTATATTTTTTCATTTAAATGCAATATTTTTCATTCAAATGGTATAATTTTTCATTCAAATGGTATAATTTTTCTTTCAAATGGTTTAATTTTCGTTCAAATGCAATATTTTTTATTCAATTGGTATAAAATGTCATTTGAATGCAATATTTTTTATTCGATTGGTATAGTAGTTTTTTATTTATATGCAATAATTGCATTATGGGAAATTCTTTGACGTCATATGGTCAAATTTGCAACAACGTTTGTGATTGGTCGGTAGTTGTTTGGATTTCTCCCCTTTCTTTCTAAACTTGAGTGACCAAGAATTAAAAAACGCGTCAGAATATCGCCCCTCTAACTAAATTTGGCGTTCGTGCGAGTTCGTGCACTGGCTGTTAATGCCAATAATGGCCAGGACGAGTAAAAATGCGAGTGACAAGTAATAATAATTAATTTGACACACTACTTGTTCGTGGATAGAAACAGATGCCTGCGTGCATGGCAAAAACACCTCCAATGAAAACCTTTTCTGAAGAAACTCTCAGAAGAAGAATCAGTCTACACATTGAAATAAAAAAAATACATAGCTAGCCCCCTTCCCCCTTCTAAGTCCAGATACATGTAATCATGACGTTCTTTAGTGCTATATCATTTTTTACATTTCTTGATCCTCAGAGACGTTGCAGGAAGGCACACATGAAAAAAGAATAAAGAGCATCCAGGACGTTACAATTATTTGGACTAAGCCCCCTCTTTTTTTACTACATGTAGAAAAAAAATCACCTAATTACGACAGCAGAACCAGAAACCCACAAGTAGAGACATAAGCTGTTATACTCCGGAACTAATTCTTTAATAAAGACAATTCAGGATAAATTGGAACCAGGTACTAACCCATGTTACAACAATAGTCCTATGACATAGGACTTCACTATATGAGGCGTGAACTTCATATTTAATACTATCTATAGTATGTGCTCTCATGTCTTATGCTGCAAATCATTTTACATTTAGGATTCGTTGCTGAGCTTTTTTTTACTGTTCTCGTCTCCGAATCCCTTAAATAGTTTTTTTTCAAGCCCCATAGTAGTTCAATAATTACTATATGTCTTTGCATAAATAAGTATTCAGGGCATATTTCAAAACATATTTTATCTTCAGGACTTTTAAATGATTTACTTTTCAATACTGCATTGGGAAGGGGGGGGGGGGTATACAAGTTTATTTTGTGACACATTATATAATATAATTAGGTATCCAACAAATTATATGATTGTACGTTTAGCTATTATCTAGACCCGTACAAAATGTATATAATTAGACACATTTAACAGGGGCGGATCCAAAACCTCGGTGTCTAGTGTGGGGGGGGGGGGGGGGGGGGGGCGGGGGGGGGGGGGGGGGCGGGGGAGAGTAGGTTCAAATTTAGATATTTGTATAGAGATGTAAATATGCGCGTATTGGCAGTAATGGTTATGGTGTGTGTGTGAGGGTAGGGGTTTCAGGTCAAAGATCGTTTCTATAATTCTATATCTTTTAGTTTTTACCATTTCACTCTATTCTTTATCCTTTGATCTCTATTATATTTGTCCTAAACATGCGTGACATATTTGCCACTGGACATAAGGCAACCAAAAGTCAATCAACGTATTCTGTATATTTAATCATTTCTTTATTATGTTATCTATAGGTTTGGTCCCGCCCCTTATCTATTTTTTAGCACATTAGGGACGACATCAAAAGTTCAATGTAGGATAAAAAAAACTTAATTCATACAGTTTTTTTTCAATCAACCCCTACCCCTCCCCCCCCCCCCCCTCTTAACTTAATTTGGGAAAAATGTATTGACCAATATATAAATCGATGTTAATTAAACAAAACTTGCAGCAATTATTTGAATTAAGTTTTTTATCCTTCATTGATTTTCTGATGTCGTCCCTTATCCTCTCTATGTAAATAAACCCAATTCATGTCCTGATAGATGGTGACTCATGCATAGCATCATATGTGGTTATAAAAACAAGAAACATATTCATATTATAATAATTAATGTATGCTAGGACTTATAGATAGATGTCATTAGTCCCAGGTCATGTAATAAAGTAGGTCTTATAAAAATACAATAGCATTTTAATTTTGATGATTATATATATGTTTATATATTTAATAATGCCATTTTTTTGGGAAAAAAAGGGTAGGGGCAAGGCGTTTTTAAAGCATTTCAATGGGGCGCGTTTTTTTTTTTTTTGTTCTTCGGAAGTGAGCCAGAAGAAGTCCATTTCTGGTTTTTATTTGCATTGGGAAGATCTTCTGGGCTCTCTTCCACCTCTTCTTTTTTGATAGGTTGACGGCAGATGCACATAACAAACATGGCGTCGTTTAGTCTAAATGAAATTAATAAATTTATGAACGCAGATATATAAGAATGTGAGCTGTTTTATAAACGTTTTTATGGTATGACAGCCTTAGTAGGACATCCCTGTAGGACGATAAGCTGGATAAATATATAGAACTACACGGACAATAACAGTTAAGGGACGATTATTTGATATTCTAGGGAAGGGATTTTGATTGATTGGTGTGTAACGCTACTTTCAACACTATTGGGCTATTCCATGGTGGTCAGTTTAAATTTATAGATGAAGGATGGGGAAGGGAAGAGAGGGCATTATTATTCATTTCAATCTGTCGCTAATCGTGCCTATTTTTCAGCTCTTACCAGGCAATCATATTCATATATGAAATCCTTATGTCCCCCACCCCAACAAATAAATAAATATCAAATGGTTTTCCTCTTATTTAACACAAGTTTAAATTGATTGATTGTTTGTTGCTAATTTTAACGCCCAGTGAAAATTATTTCATGCTTGTTCAGGCAAACACGAGCTTAGAAGTCAAAATATAAAAATGAAGAGATGCCGAATATGATTGCTAATAAGGCAACTATTCACCGGAGTTCAAATATGAAGTGGATGTAAGCAATTATAGATAAGATAAGATAAGATATAAGAAAAATTTATTTTAAGTCGGGTTACATGAAATACTACAAACATAAGCTCGGTAGAGCTTTTTGCCGTCATGTAGACAAATGCTATTTGTAGACAATCGTAAGGCCTTCAACAATGACAAAAACCTGATACTGTAAAGTCGTCTATAAAAGGCCCGACATGAAAAGTGTGAACAATTCAAACGAAAAAACCAACAGCCTAATTATACATAACAAAACAATTTACAAAATATCAAATATGAGTCGAGACAGGAACCAACGACAACCACTAAACTACAGGCTCCATCCCTGGGACAGGCAAATAAAGAATATGGCAGGGTGGATATAAAAACGAAGATGTGGTATGATTGCAAATGAGACAACTCTCCACAAGAGATCAAATGACACAGAAATCAACAGCTATAAGTCACCGTACGGCCTTCGACAATAAGCAAAGCCTACAGCGCATAGTCAGCTATAAAAGGCTTCGAAATCAAAAATGTAAAACAATTCAATCGAGAAAACTAACGGCCGAATTAATGTACAAAAAAATGAACGAAACACAAATATGTATAACAAAGCAACAAACGGCAACCACTGAATTACAGGTTCCTGACTTGGGACAAGCACATACATACAGAATGTGGCGGGGTTAAACATGTTAGCGGGATCCCAATCCTCCCCCTAATCTGGGACAGCGGTGTAACAGTACAACAACATGTTTGTGAGCAACCCATCCCGAAGCTGGGACAGTGGTGTAACAGTAGTTACAGTACAATAAAATAACAACCTGCACAAATCAGCAAATTAACTCAAAAGATCGGTACGAGACACACAAAAAAAATAACATTAAGACAATAGACACAAAGCACCGACATAAGAGTATTTGCAATTACTGGAAGTTTGCTCAATCCTAATTACAACTGGTACTGAAATAAATCTTGTTCTCCAAGACTGAGTTATCAATCAGTACACAACGCGCAGCAAAGGATTTATTAAAAAAAGAAAAACAGTCTGAGAAACGTCTGGTTTACGTTGTATATAGATATAAGAAGATGTGGTATGAGTGCCGATGAGACAACTCTCCATCCAAGTCATAATTTGTAAATGTAAACCATTAAAGGTCAACGTATGGTCTTCAACACGGAGCCTTGGCTCAAACCGAACAGCAAGCTATAAAGGACCCAAAAAATTAGTAGTGTAAAACCATTCAAACGGGAAAACCAACGGTGTCTAATCTATTTAAAAAAACAGATATACTTGCATATAAATCCATATACAATGAAACGGTTTTTGAAAAGTGGACCGAACGTTTTGGCCATCGAAATTTTGCAATAGATATACTAGACTAAGTTATGACCACAAGATTTTAACAGCCAGTGCAGGACTCGCACGAACGTTAGATTTAGTTAGAGGGGCGATATTCTGAGGCGTTTTTTAATTCTTGGTCACCCATGTTTAGAAAGAAAGGGGAGAAATCCAAACAATTACCGACCAATCACAAACGTTGTTGCAAATTTTACCATATGACGTCAAAGAATTTCCCATAATGCAATTATTGCATATAAATAAAAAAACTACTATACCAATTGAATAAAAAATATTGCATTTAAATGACATTTTATACCAATTGAATAAAAAATATTGCATTTGAACGAAAATTATACCATTTGAATAAAAAATTATACCATTTGAATGAAAAATTATACCATTTGAATGAAAAATTATACCATCTGAATAAAAAATATTGCATTTAAATGAAAAAATATACCATTCAAATAAAAAAAAAGCATTTAAATGAAGAAATATACCAATTAAATAAGAAATATTGCATTTAAATGAAAAATATCAAATTTTTGCAACCAATACCATGCCATAGCTTTTATACTTAATATATATAATAGTCCAAGAAATCACTAGCCTGCTTTCATTTATCATCGATATTTTGTGAAAGTACCATTGCATAGAATCCAGTATATTACCTAATCCTCCGTTATATATACAAGTTATTCATTATTTTATCATGGGACCGGATCGTCGTGGGACGAAAGGACTTGGGACGGATCGACTTGTGGCCTGGTAGATTTGGGCCGTAACGACCTATTTACGTGCTTTAAATTTTTCTATGAACGCCTTTAAATTACTTGTAGCAAGGATTTGTATTGGAACACACTACACATTGTTCGACAAAACTGTGCAATTTTGAAAAGTGTTAAAGCCTGGTAGCACCTAAATATATACAAATTGTATTCATTTGCGGATTTACCTAAACATTGTCTTTCCTTTTCAGTGGTGGTGTATAAATAAACTAAGTCTGGTGAAATCTTTGAGATGATCCCCCTCAGGGAATGATTGTATTGTAACATATTGATTGAAATTGACAAAAGAGGGACACTAGAAATCAACACAACAAAGGTGATTTAAATAGTGTAAATGAGTGAAATGTATCAAATATAACTCAGGTGTTAGTTTATTTTACCATCTTATGATAATGTGGCAAGGAAAGAAAATGTTCATCAAAATCCATAAAGGTTGCTAACTTTTTAAAACATAAAATCGATGTAACATTTATTCATCTACAGTACCTGGCCAAAAGTATAGGTCACCTGCATTTATTTGCTATATATTTTATATAAAAACACAATTTTTCAATAAATATAAAATTTGAAGACGTTTATGGTCGGATTTATATAAACAAGGCTTTAAAAGACAGAGAATTGTCTAGAGCATATTTGTTTATTTGGCCATAATTTTGTTTTCAGTTGTTTTTGTTTTCTCTCGATGTGAACATAGATAATAAAGATTTATTTTATTTTTCTCTCAATGTGAACATAGATAATACAGATTTACAATTTAATTTGGTTGAATATCATATAACAAATTTCTGAACGGAATTTAATATTTGTTCATCTCGTGAGAAAATTAAAATGATCCACAACAAAAATACAACCAAATAAAAAAAAAAACAACAAATAAACCTGTGACAATGCTGCTTAAAATAAAACCAGAAATGACCCCAAAATATATTTTAGTTTTATATGAAATATATAGTGGAAATCTGAAGTGACTAATACTTATGACCACACTCTGTAGGTGCTGCAGGGCTTTAAAACTTTTCAAAATGTACAGTTTTGTCTGTACTCAGAGAAAATTTCATGGTGTAAAGCCATTTTTGACAAAGTGTATTGATGAACCTTAAAATAATCTTATTACTTTTATTTTGTTTGCTGTCTATGTTAAATAATAGCAGAGATATGAATTGATGTATTGATGTAGATATGAGACTGGTATTATACAATTATAGCCTTTGTATGAGGTCGATACGAGGTTATATCGACCTAAGAGAAGCATATTGACTGAGGACGAAGTCCGAGGTCGATACGCTTCTCTGTGTCGATATAACATCGTATTGACCTCAACCAAAGGCTACAATTGTTATATTATTAATCAACAACTATTGCATGAACAATGTAAAATTGGGGATTTCTAGAATCTATTTTTAGTAACATGCTGTATACCCTGTGCAATATGCTGTTTTTGACCTACGAAAAGCTAAACACACAGTATTGGCGTGCAAACTAAGCAAATACAAATGTACATGTGATCAAGTTTTAACGAATCACAAATCCTTAAAAATATTCGATTAATAATATTAAATAATATTGTCTTTCTATGATATTTCATTTTCTTTATTGTTTCATGACAATTTGGTATGGTTCATCGTAACAAACATGACAAATGGACAACAAGTAATTGCTGTATATTTACACCTCAAATACTACTCTGAATACGGACTTACCTGTCCAGTTTGAAAGTTTCTTAAGGCCTGGCATCCACTAGATATATAAAAGTTTAATTCAGAAAGAGATAATAAATATCTATTTTTGGATTTTGATTTGGGCATTTTTTCCTTTCTGTAGAAGTTGTAAAAGTAAACAAACACCTGAATTGCTTTGACACTGTCTGCACTCATTAAACCCTTTAACTCACCTATAGTTGTGTAGATAGCTATTGTCTGTCTATTGTCGATGTCAATCAAGGACAATCGATACAATGCAATACAGTTTTTACCTGAGAGGGAGCATCTCAAAGTTGTATCCCAACTTATTTTATTTTTACACCTTCTGCACGAACGAAAAAAAATCCCCATCAAAACCTAAAAAAGATATTTTCTCTATGAAACACAGAATGCATTTAACTTTTATATATCTAGTGGATGCCAGGCTTTAAAACTTTTCCAACTGGACAGGTAAGTCTGTACACAGAGTAGTTTTTGATGTGGAAATAAAGCCATTTTTGTCCATTTGTTACGATGAACCTTAAACATGTTAAACAAAGACATTAATGCATCAAATATAAATGACAAACATCAATAAAAATATTACGATTACCTTCTTTGTTATGCAATGTTTTTACCTGTGACCTGTTACCTGGGTGGTATTTTCATGAATCTATTCAATCTATAATTATCCGCTAAAGGGCGATAATATTTAAAAAAATACCTATGGAGCACAAGGTAAACCATATAGAGTCTTTAATACAAATGTGCAATTCATTGTTCTTAATAGAAACAATATTCGAAGTGGCTTCACATTAAGCTTATATATATAACGTTCCACACAATGAATTAGAATAAGAATTTTGATCAGTTTAAAATCCAAACAATAGGATTGTTACTAAAGAAAAACATATATTAAATAACAAAACAAATTAACATGTAGCATTACAAAATGCAATATTTATAAATATATGTTTATCCATGATGTACATAATAAAGTATCTACACGTTCGGGGACAATAATAATGTTACAGCTACATGTAGATCTTATAAACATGTCAAACATGCAACTGCTTCAGTGTCGCATAAATTTAAACAGTAAAGAAATAAATATAAAACAGCATGAAAAATGCATTTTATGTGTGTCATTATCCTGAAAATAAAAACATGTTATGTGATTTAAAATTAATGAACTGAAAACTGAAAGTTACTCGAATTTTGTATATAGACAGTAAATATATATATAATAGCAGCATTGAACGATATTGTATTTTTTATATATACCTTTTTTTTTGTTTCTTGTTGATTAAGGATAAGAAGTAATTAAATTCAATGTCAAGTTTGCAATAGGTGTTCACTTTTTATTATGATTGGTATATTGTATATTCTAATGTGTGTAAATTATATTGTCAAGCGTGTTAATGAATTGTGTGTTGTACGGGCAAAGAGGGGTGTAAAGAGGAGGAAAGGGGGGGGGGGGTGTATCTGCACGGAAAAACGCGAAATAAAATTGCCTTTTCACGATGAACGAACATTTAAAAATTCTTGCACGTTAATCTTTTTACCGATTTCACGAAACACGGTGAATAACGAACCACAGAGTGAATATTTGTGGACGCCGCCGCCGACGACAACAACGACGACGACGACGACGGAATGTAGGATCGCTATGTCTCGCTTTTTCGACAAAAGTCGAAGGCTCGACAAAAACGGAAAAAATGGATTTAAAAAAAAAAATTTACTTCTGGATACTATCTTATGATCATAAACAAGCTTCTGTCCAAGTTTGGTACAAATCCAGTATAGTTTAAGAAAGTTATTAAAATTTCAAAAACTTTAACCACAGAGTGAATGTAATGTTTTCTGACAGAAAAACTTAGTCCATTTATAAGTAAAATACGGAAAAATGTTTTGTTTTTTTTTCAAAATTTACTTCTGGATACTATCTTATGACCATAAACAAGCTTCTGTCCAAGTTTTGTACAAATCAAGGATAGTTTAAGAAAGTTATTAAAATTTCAAAAACTTTTACCACAAAGTGAATATTTGTGGACGCCGCCGCCGCCGATGATGACGACGCCGACGCCGAAATGTAGGATCGCTATGTCTCGCGTTTTCGACTAAAGTCGAAGGCTCGACAAAAATGCAGAACAAAATTTTTCATCCAGATGATCCTAGCCCCCCTCTCCATTATAATCAAATATGGTAGCTTCTTAATATCAAGCCACATAATCACCATACCAAAACCTGCAGATTGAAACATACACATACACATACATTTTATATAACTGCATGTCTGTCATTACTGGCCATTGTCATTACTGGCCATCACAAAGGTTCCCGTAAAGTTCTTGTCACAATAGAAAATGTCTGATGCCACAAATGAAAGGTAATAGTGTGAAGGGAGTGGTTCTTGATACAGTGTGTGTATCAAAACAACTTTATAATTTCAGACAGAAACTCACCTAAAATCGTATCCTAAACCAGGTTAACTAGGCCACCATTCCTTTTTTAGTCCCCCACCGACGAAGTCGAAGGAGACTTTAGGTGTGCACTCTGTCCGTCCGTCTGTCTGTCTGTCAATCCTTCAGTCCGGCAACTCAGTTTTCCAGATTTTTTTCTTCATGCTTTAAGATATTGATTTGATATTTGGTATATTGTTTTATCATGACAAGTTACAGGTCAAGTTCGATTTTCACGATTTTAGCTTTTCTCCTTGTTCAGTTAAGGCCCTTTTCCTAGAATTAAATTTTTGATGAAATACTTATAAATTACTAGATTTCTGTTCAAAGGGAACTAACTCATTTTTAATTCCAACACAGGTCTTCATGTGAATAATTCCTTTTCAAATATGATTATTATTATTTCAATTAAATAAGTTCCTTCAAAATGGTAAGCAATAATTAATAACAAAATTATCAAAATCGTCAAATATATAGAGGAACCCAAATGTGAATCTTGCTCAATATTGAATAAAGCAAATAGAAATGAAACATAATAAAGCAAATAGAAATGAAACATGATAAAGCAAATAGAAATGAAACATGATAAAGCAAATAGAAATGAAACATGATAAAGCAAATAGAAATGAAACATGATAAAGCAAATAGAAATGAAACATGATAAAGCAAATAGAAATGAAACATGATAAAGCAAACAAATTAACAGCTTGAAATGATTTTGTATAAAAAGGGAAATAATCCATACCTATTACATTTGTATGACGTCAATAGTTCAAGTGTCACAAATTCTCCGGTCAAGTGTCTCGGATTCAAAAATAGCAAAAAGTTCTATTACAAAGAGGTCTATAAAGACTCTATAAAGGTAGACAGAATACATAAAATTGTGTGATCATACCTTATAAAGGAGGGGCGAGAGATACCAAAGGAACATTCAAACTCATAGATCGAAAATAAACTGACAACGCCATGGCTAAAAATAAAAAGACAAACAGACAAATTATAGTACACAAGACACAACATAGAAAACTAAAGACTAAGCAACACAAACCCCACCAAACATACTGGGACCGGTCATATTTAAAAATAAATTGTCCTATTTGAATAAAAATATAAAATTTGAATTCAATTTTTAATCCTGAAATTATGAAAGGCGTGTATAGCTCAGTAACATGGTTAAGAATTGATTTAATTATCGTAGGTACTTTGGGACAGGATAATTTTTTAGACCACCCCCTTTTCCAAAGATCGTAATTTTTGGATTTTCTTCAGAGTCTATTTATATATCAGTGACCGCTATGGATAGTTTACTTGGAATTAATTGATAGTAAATAGAAAATACAAGTATTTCTAATATATTTATGTTCATATATAAATCAGATAAATACGAAATTATTTCGAATTGATAGAAAACCAAAATAATACAGAATTTGGGAAAAAGTGGTAGGCTAAAAAAAAATCCTGTCCCCAAGTACCAATGATAATTCACCGTTTCAGAATCTTATGCATCCTGGGTAATACTTTCAAATGGTACACCAAATTGTCGTGATTCGGGTTAAAAATGTCATAAACAATGGAAATTCAACCAATGACGTGATGTTATTATCAGTTTTGGGTACGAACAATGAAATTACCCATATGGTTCTTCAGATTCTGAAACGGCCAATTATACATGAGGAAGCTATTAAACCAAGAGTTCCAAATGGTGAAGTTGAAATCATCCCTTCGTAAATTTTACGGACGCCATCACCGTAGTTGGTTGGCAGTTATGGAATAACCGTTTCACAGATGATATCCGGATATGTTCCATATGTCGTAACTACAATATCCTTCCGTTTTCACGAATGTGACCTACCGAATTAGACTATTTACCGGATTTGTAATAACATAAGCAACACGACGAGTGCCACATGTGGAGCAGGATCTGCTTACCCTTCCGGAGCACCTGAGATCACCCCCAGTTTTCGGTTCATTTGAGGTTGTCCCAACGTGGACGGAAGATTACCAGAAGAAGAAGAAGGTGGCATAGGCGGATCCAGGGGGGGCTCGGCCCCCCTTTCGTGGGAAAAATTTGGTTGATTATATAGGGAATCACTGAAGCATGACTGTAGTGGGCCCCCCTTAGGTCAGTCAGCGGGTCCCCCCCCCCCCCCCCCTTTATGAAAAGTTCTGGATCCGCCACTGGGTGGGGTTCGTGTTGCTTAGTCTTTAGTTTTCTATGTTGTGTCTTTTGTACTATTATTGTCTGTTTGTCTTTTAATTTTTTTTAGCCATGGCGTTGTCAGTTTATTTTCAATCTATCGAAGTTTGACTGTCCCTCTGGTATCTTTCGCCCCTCTTGCATACTTTAGATAATCAGAATAAACAAAATTTACCTACAGGTGTTTTTTCTTCTGTTTTATGCTTTTTACTGAACATGCTGAAAGGCAACACTAATGCCGATTTGAAGAAATGCCGATTTAAACAGGTGCCGTTTCGTCTTTTTCTAAAAGTGCCGAATTGGCCATGTGCCGACTTGACCTACACGTACACACACGTTGTGTCTGTTGGCACTCCATAGGTAATAATGCTCAGTTATCGCCCTTTGTTTATTTACACTTTGAAACTTGGTGAATTCAGCATTTTCAAAATAGTAAAGAGAGTGAAAGTGTACATATTTTATGTACATTATGGTAGGACTTTTAATATACCCCGAATATAAAACACTATCAGCGACTTACACAATGAATTACAAAATAACTCTAAAACAGTTCGTCAGTTGACATTGGCATAGGGAATCACTGAAGCATGACTTGGAGCGGGGCCCCCTCTTAGGCAGTCAGTGGGCCCCTCTTATAAAAATTTCTGGATCCGCCACTGGTGAGGACACATATGTACTTGTTTCTATCCATGGGCAGGTCGATTATATCAATATATAATTATCAATCTCTGCTGCCACCTAGGAAATGGTCCCGAGAGTCAGGGGTGCTACTTAAACAAGTGATTTCATCATCACTTATTTCAGTGATTTGATAAATTCAGTTATCACCAGGAACATATATATTGACGGGACTTGACACTACCTGATTGTAGTCGATTTTATCGTCGTGCCATAGTTAATAAAGATACGATACAGAAACGGACATGTGTTAAAAACGGACTCGCTATTATCCTAATAATTTCTGATATTATCAATAAAATGTCATTCAAACTAGTTTTACAGTGAAGCTAG